GTAGGCAAGAAAATGCACACAGGAAAGGCTGGTGTGTCCCATGGGCTCAGGCTCTGGGCCCTCTCCCTCTGCAGGTGGGCAAGCGTGGCATTCATCTTGCAAAGTCCCAAACCTTTGAAGACAATTGACGTCCATCCATCCATAATAGGGCTCCCCCACCCTGTACTGCTGATATGGGGGGGGTCACCCTCTGTGGGATGTCCTGAGTATTGCAGGGTGTGGAGCCACACCACCTGCTCAATGCTGGATTTCCAGGTCCTGGGGACCACAGATGTCTCTGGGACAGAATCACCCCCAGTGAGACCCCCTGGTCTATGGGAGAGAATAGATTTGAGGGGGGTGCATGATGGAACCCCCATGGAATGGCATGGATAGCCCACTTCTCCCTCTGCCCCACACTTGGCCAGGTGGGAGCACTGCCACACTCAGTGTTGAGGGGAGGACTGGACACAGCCCAGAAACCTTGCGGGGTACAGCAGACAGGACCTACCTCAGGGATGGGAACCCGGAGGTAGGAACCTCGCTGGGGTGTGGGCTTGGGGGATCCTGTTGTGTCGACCGGGCCCTTGAGTACAGTGGTGTTTTGTTTGCCTGGGGTATTTGTCAAGCACCCAGCAATCCTCCAATGCCCAGAGGACACCATCGTGCAGTTTTAATTCAGTTCCGACCCTCTCTGCCTGGAGTCAGTGCAGAACCCACAGCTTAAGGGCTCAGCCCACAGCCCTGTTCCCTCTTCAAACCAGTCCCGAGTCCTCTGTGACCCCTGAGCTTCTTACTGACCAACTAGCTATGTGTCATGGTTCCTGCCACCCCTCTCCCTGGGTCTGACCAATTTGTTATAACAAACAAATGTGACCTAATTAAACTTAAAAGCTTTTGCACAGCAAAGGAAACTATCAACAAAACAAAAAGAGAGCCCACAGGATGGGAGAAAATATTTGCAGATGAAGTGACCCACGGGGATTAATCTCCAAAATATACAAATAGCTCATGCAGCTCAGTATTAAAAAAAAAAAAAAAAAGCCCCAATCAAAAAAACAAGAAAAAGACCTAAACAGACATTTCTCCAAAGAAGACAGACAGATGGCCAATAGGTACATGAAAAGATGCTCAACATTACTAGTTATCAGAGAAATGTAAATCAAAACTACTGTGAAATATCACCTCACACCAGTCAGAATGACCATTGTTTAAACGTCTACAAATTACAAAAGCTGGAGAGGGTGTGGAGGAAAGGGAACCCTTTGTCCTAGAGTTTTAGGCACAAAGGGCTTCTAGCTTGGTCCCTCCTGACCTGGATGTGAACTCAGGTGGTTGAAAGAGGCTCATTAGGAGGGTTTTGGGAGCCCTGTGCCAGGGCAGGATTTCGCAGTTTGGTTTGTGGAAAATCACCAGCTGTTGTGACCTGGGTGCGTTCTGTACATAGGTGACACCTCCATAAACAGTTAAAGGTTAACAAGGCACTTGCCCCTGCAGGCCCATCAATCTTGGTTTGGGTTATCCAGTCCCCAAAAAAACATCAGAGAAAAAATAGCTCCACGGAGGGATGTTCTCCAAAACCCCTGACCTGTGCCCCCACCCCTGACTGCCCAGGCCATTGAAAGAGGCACAGCCCAGGGGGATCCCAGAGAGGCCTGAACATCACAGGGGACCCTGAAAAGTCCTGGGGCCAAGAGGATGTCAGGGAACCCAAGGAGAGGTGAATAAAGTATGGGCTTCAGTTGATAATAACATATCAAGATTGGTTCATTAATTGTGACAGCTTCCCCAGTGGCTCAGATGGTAAAGAATCTGCCTGCCAATGCAGGAGACATGAGTTTGATCTGATCCCTGTGTTGCAGGAAGGGGGACCCCTTCCAGGGCCCGAAACTGGACTCTTGTCTAACACTTGGAAATGAATTGTCTGAGGAGACACGTGCTGACAAAGCAAGATATTTTATTGGGAAAGGGCTCCCGGGCGGAGAGCAGGAGGGTAAGGGAACCCAGGAGAACAGCTCTGGCTCGCAGTCTCGGGTTTTATGGTGATGGGATTAGTTTCCGGGTTGTCCTTAGCCAATCATTCTGACTCAGAGCCCTTCCTGATAGTGCAGGCCTTGTTCAGCTGAGATGGATGCCAGAGAGAAGGATTCTGGGAGATAGTTGGACACTTGGTGTCTCCTTTTGACCTTTCCTGAACTCTTCCATTTGGTGGAGGTTTATTAGTTCCGTGTTCCTGTCGTAAAACAACTCAGATGCAAATGATTACTATGGACAAATGCAAATGGTTACTTTGGTGCCTGGCCAGGGTGGGCGGTTTCAGTCAGTGTGCTTCCTCTAATATCTGGATCAGGAAGATCCCCTGGAGGAGAAAATGGTAACCCATTCCAGTATTCTTGCCTGGGAAATTCCATGAATGGAGGAACCTGGTGGGCTACAGTCCATGGGGTCACAAAGAGTCAGACACGACAGAGCACCAGGCACATCATAATAAGAATCTCGTCAACTGAAGGGGAAGGAACACTTGGAAGATTGGTACTCTCTTCATTGCTTTCTGTAAATATAAAACTGTTCCAGGGACTTCTTTGGTTGTCTAGTGGATAGACTCTGCGCTCCCAATGCAGGGGACACAGGTTTGATCCCTGATGGGAGAACTGAAATCCTGCATGCTGCATGGTGTGGCCCCCCCCAAAAAAAAGACAGATAAAAGAACCTTTAGCAATTTAAAAAAGAAAAAAGAGTTGAGTAGATTCCTTCCTCCTCCTCCTTCTGTCCTTCCTTTTCTCTGGCTCTGAAATAAAGACATAAGTGTTTCCTAAAGCGTCTTACCACCTTGCAGGAGGCCTGGAACTCGCAGTGCTCAGAAGACAGGAAATTCTGCTGCATCACCAGAAGAGAAAAGCCATTGCCTTCTGATGGGCAAACTCACCTTCTGCGCTGCCTGACCAGCGGCCTTTCCTGCTTAGAACACCCTTGCATGAGCACGGAAGGCACCGCCAGAGACAGTTGCTTCCTGGGAAAAATATTTAGATGGAGCAGAAGAGATGATTTTCTCTCCTGAGCGGCCTTTTTTCCCCTTTAACTTCCTGCCCATGTGCAGTAATAGCTATGCAAAATCTCGATTCGAGACAAGCCTGCAAAAAGTGAGGGATCTTCTGGGGTTGGTGGTGTGGATTCCACAGGGCTTGGGTTGCTCATGTGCATGTCTTGCTGTCAGAGCAGCAAACCCTTGATTGAGATTTGTGAATTTCCCTGTGTGGGAGGGAGGGAGGGAGGGAGAGATGGGCCTGAGTAAGTCCTGTGCACCGGGCCTTGGTCCCACAGAGCAGTGTCTGGGGGCTCCTCGGGGAGGCTGCCACCTACATGAGATGCACCAACAACAAAGCCAGATGGACAGACAGACAGTGGGGGAAGAAGCAAGCACTTCAGCTGCTCCTGGGAAAACCTGCATGGCGGGAGTGGGGTGGGGGCGCTGAGGGGGCAGGCACCTAGGTGTTTAGTGTGCGGTTATTTCAGCGTGGCTATTTGAGCATTTTCATATTAAAAGCAGAAGATTCTGCCAGAAAATAGCAGTTTTCTCACACTGTTCCACACAGAGTCCATCACCAGACGGTCCAGCAACGTCTCTCTGCCTCATCAGAGCACACTCAAGAGAACTAAAAATACATCCACACGTGTCTTTGCACCTGTGGCCACAGCAGCCATGGTGGAAACAAGCTAGGTGTCCATGGACAGGTGAGCAGACATACACACACGTGTCCCTCCACACATGGGGCATCCTTCAGCTCTGAAGAGGAGAGAAGCCCTGACACTCGCTACCACGTAGATGGACCCTGAGAACACGATGCTCAGTGAGATAAGCAGACATAGGACACACAGGGTGTGATTCCACTGATGGGAAATGTCCAGAACAGGCCGATCCACAGACACAGAGAGTGGGTTCCTGGTGGTTAGGGGCTGGGGAGGCGTAGTGTTGCTTTTGGGGTCCTGGAAGGTTCTGGAACTAGATAGAGATGCTGGTTGCACAACCCTGGGAATGCACTGAAAACCCCTGAATCACACACTATTTAAAAGGGTGAATTGCATGGCATGTGAATTATATCTCAATATAAGACAAACTGAGATCATGGCATCCGGTCCCATCACTTCCTGGCAAATGGATGTGGAAACAATGGATACAGTGACAGACTTTATTTTCTTGGGCACCAAAATCACTGCAGATGGTGACTGCAGTCATGAAATTAAGACGCTTGCTCCTTGGAAGAAAAGCTATGACTAACCTAGACAGCCTATTCAAAAGCAGAGACATTACTTTGCTGACAAAGTTCTGTATAGTCAAAGATGTGGTTTTTCCAGTAGTCATGTATGGATGTGAGAGTTGAACCGTAAAGGAAGCTGAGTGCTGAAGTATTGATGCTTTTGAACTGTGGTGTTGGAGAAGACTCTTGAGAGTCCCTTGGACTGCAAGGAGATCAAACCAGTCAATCCTAAAGGAAATCAGTCTTGCATATTCATTGGAAGGACTGATGCTGGAGCTGAAGCTCTGATACTTTGGCCGCCTGATGCAAAGAACCGACTCATTGGAGAAGACCCTGATGCTGGGAAAGATTGAAGGCAGGAGGAGATGGGGATGACAGAGGATGATATGGTTGGATGGCATCACTGACTTGATGGACATGAGTTTGAGCAAGCTCCAGGAGTTGGTGATGGATAGGGAAGCCTGGTGTGCTGCAGTCTATGGGGTTGCAAAGAGTTGGACACAACTGACTGAACTGAACTGAAAGACAGTGGTGGTGGTTGATGGTTTAGCTGCTAAGTCATGAGTGACTCTTGTGACCCCATTGATTGTAGCCCACCAGGCTCTTCTGTCCATGGGATTCTCCAGGCAAGAATACTAGAGTGGGTTATCATGCCCTCCTCCAGGGGATCTTCCCAGCCCAGGAATGGAACCCAGGTCTCCTACATGGCAGGCAAATTCTGAGCCACCAGAGAAGCCCACTAAACATGGAACCAAAGTCAAAAAGAGAAGGAAGGAGATTTGGGGGCCTTTCTCTGTCTCCTTCTGACCCCAGGCGCCCCCGGGCCTTGGCAGCGGCTGGCCCTCCCATGCAGCCTGAAAAGTACAACCCGTTTTGTAGGTGCCAAACCAGAGGTCCTCAGCCCTCAGGAGGCTCAAGCAGTTTTATTATTACGGTTTATTGGTCCCCTGATACATCCGGGCCCCTGGCTGCCCCGCTGCAGGATGCTCCTTGGAACATGGAATCAGGGCCACCTCTGGAGGGTCAAGGTGAGGGAGGTGGGCCGTTAGTGGCGGAGGACCTTCTTGATCCAGGGCATGTAGGGGGCCACGGCGACAGCCACAGGGGGTTTGAAGATGTCAGTGCATTCCACAGAGCTGAAGGACAGGATTCCGGCCACTTGGCCTCTTCTGCACACCACAGGCCCGCCTGAGTCCCCCTGTGGAGGCAACAGAGCACCAGTCACCTCCTGATGAAGGGGGTTGGTTATCCAGTGGGAGGGGATGGGAGGCTGATTCCAGGGCAGAGACCCCCATCTCCCTGCTCCCTCCCTTCCCCCACCTCCTTTAGTCCCTTCTCAGTTCCTGTCTTGCCTGGTAACTCTCTCTGTGCCTTCTTTCTGCCCCAGGGCCTTTGCACATGCTCCGTCCATGCCCTGATATTTCTGGGTGCTGGAGTTCAAAGCCTAGCTCTGCCACCCACTGTGTGACTATGGGCAAGCTGCTTAGTCTATCTGTGCCTCAGTTTTTGCACTTGAGAAGTGGTTTCCTGGTCCTTCCCAGCTTCAGGACCCCCAGGGAAAGGAGGCTGGCCTGAGCGCCCCTACCCCCAGCACCCGCACCTTGCAGGGGGCCTGGCTCTTGGAGTCAGCAGCCAGGCAGATCATGTGGGGGCTGATGGTGCCGTTCCAGAACCGACTGTTGTTGCACATCCTGGTGTCCAGCACACGCAGGTCCAGCTCCTGCAGCACCTTGGCCAACTGCCCAGGCTGGTGGGTCAGGCCCCACCCGGCCAGGCTGCAACGGGTGCCTGTGGCCACCGCCTGGCGCCCTCGGGGCAAGGCCAGGGGCTGGATGGTCTTGCTGGGCTTCACCTTCCCATCCAGCTATAGGGACAGGAAGGGGCAGATGAGCAGGTGAGGGGATACTGGGGGAGGGGCACACAGGGAGAGGGGCAATGGGAAGGTGAGTCTGGGGGAGGGGCTATAGGGGAGGGGCATCAGGGGAGGGGACCTGGAACTACCATCCTCCCACTGGCAGCACCTTTAGCAGCGCGAGGTCATTCTCCAGATGAGGGGTTGGCTTGTATTTGGGGTGCAGGACCACCTTCTTGATGCGGTAGGTAGGACTGGGCTCTCTCAGCACATGGAGCCCCAGCACAAGCCTCAGCTGCTGCGTCCTGGGGGCGGCAGGGTTGGGGTTTAGGGGGGCTGCAGGGTGTGTGTGGGGGGGCAGCAGGGCCTGGGTGTGAGCCCCAGTCCTCCCAGGCTCTGGGCCAGGGGCACTCACACACTGTCCAGCACCACCTCACCAGCTTCTTTCTGCAGTCCTTCCCCTTCCCCTGTCCAGTCTGGTCTTCTCCCTGCCTCCTCCAGGAAGCCTTCCCTGCTCTCACCTCACCCCAGACTCCTGTCTAGCTGCCTGAAGGCTGTCTCCTTTCCATGTTTTCAGTTACTTGAATCAACAGACCCCCTTTGATTACTTCTCCAGGTTTGATCTGCAGTCTTTGTTACTGGCCAGTCCGGAGGTAGGACAGCTCTGGGATGGGTTTACCTGGTGGCTTCACAATGGCATCATGCACCCAGGTTCCTCTCTGTGTTGGCCCTGCCACCCTCATAGGCCAGCTCTGTCCCTGTGGCCACAGGTGGGAGACACACTCCTGGGTGTCACAAGAGGCCCACCTCTGTCCATTTGGAAGGTGCTTTTCTGTAGCAAATAAGCTGCCTTCAGGAATCCTTGCAGCCTAATGTCACAAGCACACACATAAGGTTGCTGTGATGTACTCTTGCCTCAGCAACCACTGCAGAGGGGAAGGGGACCCTCTCACAACACTACAGTTGACTTAAATCTCTCCGGACCCACTTCCTGGTGAGAATGGGGAAACCAGGATAGGTCTGGGGACATCTGGTGTGATGGCGTGGGGCTGGGTCACTCACGGCTGGGTCAGGCAGTGGGCAGCTGTCAACACCCAATTTTGGTTCAGGAGCACCCCGCCACATTGGTGGCAGCCAGACTTCTGCAGCGAGACCATGTATGGGTGTGAGTGGGGGACAGCGTTTCGACCCCCAATGATGTGGGTCTCAAAGGTGTTGCCTCCTGGGGAGAGGGAGAGAGAAGGCCAGGTTAGGATTGGGTGCCCCACCCCTGACCTGACACTATGACTCCAGCTCCGAGGCCCTGGATGGAGTGTTCTGGAATTAGACTATGGGGCTGGTCGTACAACTCCAAATGCACTAAAATTCTCTGACTTGTACCCTTTAACTGGGTAAGTTGCATAGTGTGTGAATGACATCTCAATAAAACTGCTATAAAAATTGTTCTAAAACCAATCATGGGGACTTCCCAGTGGTAAAGTCTCTGCCTTCCAAAGCAGGGGACGAGGATTTGATCCCACATGCCCCAGGATGTGGTCAGAAATTTTTTGAAAAATTGTGAATTAAAAATGATTGATAAAAAGAATTTTAATGTAAATTAAATGTAAATTAAATTAGCTAAAAAAAATCTACCTGTGATTCCCCATCATGCTTTAATTTTTTTTTTCATGCTTTAATTTTTAAAATCTATTTTTAAAAATTTTGGCTATGCTGCATGGCATGTGGGATCTTAGCTCCCTGGCTAGGGGTCAAACTCATGCCCCCTGCAGTGGAAACACAGACTCTTAACCCCTGGGCCACCAGGGAAGTTCCTCCTTCATGCTTTAAACATCAAAACTCCTCATGACCCACAAGACACACCTTAGCTCACCCTGCTTCCTTCACACTTGCCCCCATCCCCTCAGCACTCTGGTCTCCCTGCTGTTGATGGATGGTTGATGGATAAGGATGGATGGATAACGGATGGATGGATGCATGCATGCATGGAATGGAAGGAAGGAAAGAAGGAAGGGAGAAAGGATGATGGGTGGGTAGTGGGAACCCCTATCCTGCTGCATCACCAGTTGATCACAGTGAACCTGGCTGGACAACAATCCAGCCAGGACAGCATGGTGGGATACCCACCATCCCACCCAGCCTGCATCTCAAGCTCCCAGGTGCCATTTGTGAATAAGTGTATACATTCTGGGGAGGCAGCCAGCAGGGGCTGAAATTCCAGCTCCATCCCTCCCAGCAGGGTGATCCTGTGGAGGCTGCCTCACTCGTGCGGCTGTGGTTTCCTTCTCTGCACTTCCTGGGTGCTGCTGGGGAGCAAACAGCCTGCACCTGTCCCACGTGCTGTGAATCCAGCTCCACCAGAGCCCCACGGTCGCCCCCAAGACAACCAGGCGGACATGCGCAACCTCACCCTGGAGAGGCTTGGTGGGATCCACCATTAAGGGGCGAACACAGCGCCCCTCCGTGGTTCCTCCGGAAAATGCATCATCCGAGCCCAGCCTGAGGACCTGGGGGAGATGGAGATGCTACCAGAGCATAGGGGACCGAGGACAGCAGGACGACTAGGTCCTGCTCACTGAGGACACCGTGCGGATAACTGGAATGAGGTCTGTAGATGAGCTGAGGGGAAGGATGCTGTGAATCCACCCATCCTATGAAAGGATGGCCTGTTCCCAGCACACACACACATACGTACACGCACACACACACATATGCACATGCACACACACACATACATGCCAAAGCGTTTAAGGGTGAGGGGCAGTGCATCTACAGCTCACTCTCAAATGGTTCAGAAAAATAATGATAAACACATATTTGTATTTTGTATGCACACCAAGGGGTGGGGTAGGTTGGGGGGATGATAAGGCAATGGAGGCAAAATGTTTACCACCGAGGGATTAGGGAGGAGAAAAGGAAAGTTGTCTGCAGGACTCTCCTGACATCTCTGTAAAAGTGGAAAGAAGTCAGAAGGAAAAAAATGGGGTGACTTTCCTGGTGGTGCCGAGGCTAGGACTCTGTACTTCCAGTGCAGGGGGCGTGGGTTCAGTCCCTGGTGAGGGAACTAGATCCCACATGCAGCAACTAAGAATTCACATGTCAAAACTAAAGATCCTGCTTGCTGCAACAAAGATTGATGATCTTGCGTGCCACCAAAGATTCGGTGCAGCCAAAATAAACACATTTTTCTTTTTAATTCAAGAAAGGAAAAGAACCTCACATCTGCCAAGCCTTGCCCTTGCCCTCAGGCCTCACTCAGAAGAAGTCATGACAACCATATGGAGATGAAACTGACAGACCCTCAGTCACCCAAGCTGTGAAACCATCCCCAACAGCAAGTCCCCATCACCCCAGGAAGAAGCCCCGAACTGTTAGCAACCCACTTCACACCTTTTTTTTTTTTTAATGGTTGCTTTTGCTTTTTTCACTTTTTGAAAAACTGATGTATAGTTGATTTACCATGTGTTAGTTTCAGGTGTATAGCATATATATATATAATATATATATCATTCAGTTTATATAAATATAATATACATATACATGTATATTATATATATATTCATCCCTGGATCAGGGAGATCCCCTGAAGGAGGGCATGGCAATCCACTCTAGGATTCTTGCCTGGAGAATCTCATGGACAGAAGAGCCTAGCAGGCTACCGTCTATGGGGTTGTGAAGAGCCGGACATGATTGAACGACTAACACTTTCACATTTATATTCTTTTTCAGGTTCTTTTTCAATTTTAGGTTATTACAGGGTATTGGGTATAGTTCCCTGTGCCAGAAAGTAGAATCTTGCTGTATGTTTTATATACAGTTGTGGTTATTTAGTCACTAAGTCACGTCTGACTCTTTGTGACCCCATGAACTATATAGCCCCCCCAGCTCCTCCATCCATAGGATTTCTCAGGCAAGAATACTGGAGTGGATTGCCAGTTTTTTTCTGGGGGATCTTCCCGACCCAAGGATCAAACCCTCGTCTCTTGTGTCTCCTGCATTGGGAGGCAAATTCTTTACCACTGAGCCACCTGGGAAGCCCTTAATATATAGTGGTATCTGTTAATTCCAAACTTCTAATTTATTTTTTTTTTTAATTTAAAAATTTTTGGCCATCCTGAATGGCTTGCAGGATCTTATTTCCCTGACCAGGGAATCAAACCCATGTCCCCTGCAGTGGAAGCCTAGAGTCCCAACCAGGGGACCACCCGGGAAGTCCCCCACCCCATTTTAAATTTTTAAAAAAATATTGTTGGAGGAAAGTGAAGCTCCCTCCCTGCCACCCCGCTTCCTGCTCTGGAGCCTCCTTCCAGAAATATTTCATCGAAGGGGAACAGGCTCAGAATAGAAACCCCCAGGATGGCGGGTGTCCTTGGCCCTTTGCTCTTTGCTTTCCCCACAATCTCTTTTCGAGGCTGTTTCATGGACAGCCATCTCGTGCTCTGGGGGCCACTGACATGTTTTCAGTGAGTCCTGTCTGGGGACAGGGAAATTGTATCCAGTCTCTGTTCCTTCACCCCCCTGCCCTGCCCCTTGCCATGGGCCCCGGGTGCCACAGCTCCGGCCTCAGTGTCCCCACCTCACTCACCTGCCCACAGGGCTTCCAGGACCATTAGCAGGAGCAGCATCTCAGATCGGGGGCCTCCACGGTTCTGGCCCCGAGCCCCTGCACAGTTCACACCCAACCTTCCTGTGGGGGAGGGAGGTGACATTCACAGCTCTGGCTGATTCCACATCACCCCCAAGTGTTTCTGAAAGATATGCACTCTTTGGAGACAAAACCCCATCACCATGATCACACCTGAGAAATTTACAGGAAACCCTATTGAGCATCTATTATCTCATCATGTTCCACCTCCCAGCTCACTGGTGGTGTTGTGTGGTTTCAGCTCGATAATTTCCTTGCCCTGTTGTCTCATTGTGGCAAAATACACACACCATAAATGCAGCATCCTAACTGTATTTAAATGCACAGCTCATGGCATTAGGTACATTCACATTGTCATGGGATCACCCTCACCATCATCTCCAGAACTTCATCTTCCCAAACTGAAGTTCTGTCCTCATGAAACACTGACTCCCCAGTCCCACCCCCAGCCTGTGGCCCCACCAAATACTTCCTGTCTCTGGATCTGACTCCTAAAGGGACCTCCTGTGAGTGGAATCAGTGTGTCCTTCTGGATCTTGTTTCGCTATCATGTTCTCAAGGTTCATCCATGGTGTAGCTGGTGTCAGAATCTTTCTTTTTAAAGGCAGAATAATATTCCAGCGTGTGGAGGGACCACATTGTATTTATCCATCATCTGTGTGTTTACCCCTCCATCTGTCCATGGATATCTGGGGTCTTTTAGATTTTGGCTATTATGAACAAAGATGGTATGAACACTCATTTGTTATGAGCACTCTGGGGCTCCTGCAAGTCTAAGGGTCCTAGCCAGGCTCATCTGGGTCCTCCCTCCTTCAGTCCACCCTTCTCCTTGCAGCCCTCAACACCATGGGACCCAGACCAGCCAATCAGCACTCCCTATACCCTCTGGCCATAGAGATTGGTTCTGGGCAGAGGACCAATCTAAACACTGCACCAGCTCAGTGAAGACGAGGGCCCATGTTTCTTCTGGAACTTTCCAGAAACAGCTTTCATGCTGCTGGACTTGGGAAGATACCAGCCTGGGAGTGGGACCAGGGTGAGAGGCATCTGCCTGAAAATGAGGAAGCTGACTACAGGGAGGAAGCTGACCACATGCTCGGTGCCTGAAGCCACATGCATTTACTCTCTCTTGGGGCAAACATCCACATGTGGGCCAGGCCAGTTCTTCTGGGGTTCCAGAGGAGAATCATTTCCTGCCCTTCCAGTCTACAGACACAGATGCCGGGGCTAAGGGCATGGACATTTTTGGAGCTGCTCTTCTGCTGACCACAGGTTGGGGGAAGACAAGAGTCTGGGCTGGAGCCAGTGCTGTGCCTGAAACCCCTGCCTGCCAGTCATGGAAGTCACACTTGAGTCAGTGTGAATCGGGTTTTCCTCTCCTGTGATACTCAAAGGGTCAGGATAAATATGACTTGGCTGAAAAATGGGTCACAGAGGCAGACAGGCTCATCCCGGTACTGGCTCTGCAGCAGGGGCCTACTGTCCACCTCTCCTTCAGTAGTGTCTGGCACACAAGTCTCTGGAGCCATTTCACATAGGAGGGTGTTTGAGGCCAGAGTTAGGTTTAAGAGAAATGGGTATTTATAGTGTGTTCACATGTTCAACCTTGTTTAATCCTCCTAATGACCCCAGGAAGCAGGTTTTGTTAGTATTTGGGGCTGGGAGAGGGGGTTGTTCACCAGATTTACCAGGTAAAAAAAACAGGGTAACAGCTTATATTTGAGTTTCAGACACACAAGTAACTTTTTGGTACAATTAAGTCCCAGACATTATGTGGGATAACCTTTATTCCATGTATCCCATTACATGTTTACCTAAAGTTCACAAGGCAGACCCAATGCTGAGATGAGACCCCGGTTAGGAGGACAGGACTACCAGGCCTTGGTCAGTCGTGTGGACCCTGGCCACAAGCCTCACTCTCTGGAGGGCAGCCCGTGTCCCTTCCCACAGCTTCCAGGCTCATACCTGCCCCCGCTTGTCCTGTGCAGAGGTGACGGTGCCAGGTCACTCAGGTGGTGGAACCTGTCCGGACGTCGGGCTCTCATTCTCCAGGCCCTGAGGCTCTGGTCACCTCAGTGATGGAGGGTGAACCCCCAACACACACGAGCCAAGTGTGGAGCAGGGTGAATGCTGAGTCTGGGGCCATCATTACATGGCAGCAAAAGCCTGGGGGCAGGGGGAAGGGGTCCCAGGAACAGAGGGGCTAGACCCACAGGCCTGAGGGTTATGGCAGATTGCAGATGCTCCTATCAACAGCCAGGAAGTGTTTCTGACTTCTGACACAGAGGCTGTGTTGCTATCACTCAAGCTTTAAAGCTGCAGCTCAAAAGCAGCTAAATGTGCGTGTTTGGCTTTGTTCCAATAAAACTGTATTTACAAAATGGGCAGTGACAAAGCCTGGCTGGAGGCCTTTGCTGAGGGCTCTGGGGTCTTCACACTGGCTGGTGGCTCCTACAGCCTGGGCACCGGCGCCTACTGAGTTCAAAGGCCACACAGGGGGGACCGGGATGGGGAATACATGTAAATCCATGGCTAATTCATTTCAATGTATGACAAAAACTACTGTAATGATGTAAAGTAATTAGCCTCCAACTAATAAAAATAAACGGAAAAAAAAAAAAAGAAAAACAAACAAATCAAAAAAACAAAAACAAAAACAAAAACAAAGGCCACACAGCCCTGGACACCACCAGCACGGGTGACATTGCCCAGGAAGTGGGGATCAGTACCCCCAGGGCCTCTCAGTCCCAAGTGTGCCCCCGGGGCCCTTCCTGCCCAGAGCCCAGGTCCCTGGGGCCCCTCCCCCTGATCAGATGATCCAACAGGAGGCCCTGGGAGCGTCCAGGCTCAGAGGGGCAGCTGAAGTCTCCCGTTGTGGATTACGTGCCTGTCACTAGAGCTTGTGCCCTTGCCTGGGTCCCACTGACCTTGAGGCCAAGGAGAGGTTGGTCCTCCGGCTTCTCATAAAGTTGCTTTATTTAGATTCCAAACAAACCAAAGCAGAGAGAAGAGGTGACCCCGAGTCAGTCCGTCCACTCACAAGCCGGGACCCTGAGTCTCTGGCTGCCAGGCGGGGCAGGCAGGTTAGGGTCCCAGAGCAGCGTCTGGCCCACGTGGGGCCCAGGTACGTGAGCCCGGCAGCCTCCCTGGAGGCGGAGATGGGGTGGACGGCGCCGGGCCACGAGGCGCCCGGAGGTAGTGGCGGCGGCAGACAGTCGGGCGGCTGAGGTAAAATTTGTAAGTTTATTCGCAGGGATGTAGTGTCAGGACTCTTCGGTGCCTGAGTCATCCTCATCGTCCCCGAAGCAGCTGTCGGCCTCAGCCTCGCCATCCTCGTAGTAGTCGTCATAGAAGAGGTCTGAGCCCTCGTCCGGCACTGGCGCCTTGGTCTTCACGCAGTACTCAGCCAGTGTGGTGGGTACCTTCACACCATCCCGCTCTGCGTCCACCTTGGTCCCCAGGACCTGCTTCCTGCGGAGAGACGCAGGTCAGCCTTGCTGTGGCCGGTGACCCACGCGGGCACTCCCGTGGACAGTGCAGAGCACCCAAGGGTGACGCCAGCACCAGGGGGCGCCCCAGAGCAGATGGAGCCAGACCCCTCACAGGACCGCCCATGTGTGCCCCAGGGGTTTCTGCTCACACACAGGTGCACACGCACACACATGTGCACAGAATGGGGTGACCATGGGCTGAGTAAGAGGCGGAGCGTGGGCTCTGAACCAGGAAGACCAAGAAGGTGTTGGCTCATCAGGAAGAGAAACACAGATCCCAGCTGCCAAGAGGCTGGGTGAAGTGGGAGCAGCCAAGGTGCTGGGCCGGCTCTGTGGGCAGGTGAGTCGCTCGGCACCGCAGGGCAAGGCCGGCCACAGGGCAGATGCTCGGCACACTCCTGCCAGGCCGGGGCCCAAGTCCTCCCTTCTCTGCACTTGAGTATCTTGCCGTCACTGGCATCACGTCTCCTGCGTGTGCGTCCCTGTTGGGGCTCCTACGGCACCTGCTGCCCCTGGGGTCCTACCTTCCAATGCTGCTGGGCTTTCCCGAGCTCTCGCTGTGAGGTCGCGAGGCTGGCCCGCAGGCACGGGTCCCTAGGGCTCCGCAGGCACAGTGACACGGCAGGTGAGTGTGGGTGCTGGTGAGAACAAGGACTCGATTCTCAGGGTAAACGCTGGGGGCGGGGGAAGAGACTAGGTCGTCATGGAAACACGTGTCTGACCTACTTGCTTTTCTAAGAGGCAAAGAACAGACCAAAATCCTTCTCAGAAGAGACTTATGGTTAGAGTTAAGTTTGTCGTGGCATAAGTCACAGGTCCCAGGAGAACAAGTGAGAACAGCGACCACAGATCAGCTTGCAGCGACACCACCAGGTGGAGCACGCAGGCCCAGGGGCGTTGCTGGTGTCGGCCGGCACTCGGGGTGTTTTGACCTTTCCTAAACATGCTGATCCCACCCAGCCTTGCTGCCTTTAGAAAACGATTCCAAGTCTCAGAAGTGCAGCACCAGCGATACTCACTTTCGTGAGGTGAGAAGACAGACCACTCTGCAAAGCATGGGCCTGGCCACACGTGGAGAACCCACTCCCTGAAGAGACCGGTGGGGAAAAGCTGAGGGCCAAGTGCACACGATCACACCCCAGTGTGCAGGGTCTTCACACAGCGCGGGGTAGGGGTTGGGAATCACTGCCCTTCTAGTTACAAATCAAAGGAAGGTGGCAAGACCCTGCTGGGTCCTGGCAGATAGCAGTGTGTGTTATCTCCACACACACACACATGCCCCGCAACACACACAGCATGTCCACATGTGACGGTACATATGTGGACCACACACTTCCTGAGACAAAAATCCTGGCCTTTCTGGCAGGAGGAGGAAGGCCCAGACCCCTGGGCCGCTCACCGGATGATGTCCGTGTACTCGCGGTCCTTGCCTTTGCTCTCTTTCCACTTCCTGTACATCACAGAGGCGTCCACGTTGGCTGGCGAGAAGGTGTTGGGTTCGTTGAGGAGGGAGATGACACTCAGGAGGATGGTCCTGGAGGAGCAGGAGTCGGCGTGGGGGAATCCACAGCCCAGGGCATTGCCCACCTTGGAGCCTCCCACCCTGACCCTGACCCTCATCCTCTGCCGCATGCCTAGCTCCTGGGATAGGATGTGGGATGGGCAGCCAAGGCTAGGACCACCTTTGCTTGGGTGAAGCAGGTCTGTCCCCTCCCCAGGGTGTTTCCCCTGGAGAGTGGTTTCCCCAGGCCACCCATGATCAGACCTGGGCTGGATGAAGGGCGCTGGGCAGGAGGCAGGGTGAGCGTAGCCCCCAGGACAAAGGGGTCTGTGTTATCTGGGGCTCAAGGAAGGAGGGGGGACCCCTGGGGTAGGCAGACAGGATTCCCTAAAAAGTGAAAGTCATCGTGTCCACCTCTTTGCAACCCCATGGACTATACAGTCCATGGAATTCTCCAGGCCAGAATACTAGAGTGGGTAGCCTTTACGGTCTCCAGGGGATCTTCCCAACCCAGGGATCGAACCCAGGTCTCCCACATTGCAGGCAGATTCATTACTACCTGAGCCACAAGGGAAGCCCAGGATTCCCTGAGGATGTTACCAAAGGTGGGGGGGTAGTGGGTGGCAAAAGATGGGGGAAAGGCTGGCAGGGACAGGGCGTTGTGTGTGTGTAAGGATAGGAAGTTGCACCTGCCCCTATGTCCACACCCCCAGGGCGGCCCATCTGATGCCCTCACCTGACGTTCTGTGTGGGGTTCCACCGCTCCGAGGGCAGCTCCCCGCTCTGGGGGTCATCCACTGGAGGGTGGAGAATAGAGATGCAAACGTCGCCAGTCTGTGAGATATGGGGGGGCAGGGAAGAGTCAGCACCCACATGGCTCCTGTCCCCAAGCCCCCCTACCCCCACAGGGCCCGAGGGCATGCTCACCTCGTAGATGTTGGGGTGCCACATCTTGGTCAGGAACCGAAAGGCGGGAGGGGAGTAAGGGTAGTCGATGGGGAACTTGAGGCGCGCCTAGTTGGGGGAGAGCAGGGGGCTCAGTGAGTCAGGCCACCCATGGCCACACACAGTGGTTGCGCTGGGACCCGCCTGCCTCTGGCGCCCCTCACGGGCCTGGGGCGTTTGAGTCACCTGAGTCAAGCCGACCCTGGTCCCTGCCTTGTTGCCAGGGGTGTGGGCACCCCTGGGGATCAGCTCCAGGCCTGTGGTGGGACCAGAGCCCAGGGCTGGCTACCTGAGCACCATGCTGGGCGCCCAGCCTCAGTCTCCAGCTCGTGGGGAGGACTAAAATAGATGCGTGTTCACTGGGCAGGCACTGGGGGCGGAGATGAGTCAGCGATGGGCTCTCTGCCTGCAGGTGTCAGCCCTGGGGTGTCAGAAGGTGGCCGGGAAGGTCACGGGAAGACAGGAGAAGGCCCCTGGGGGAGACCTGTGCCCCCAGCTCAGCCTGTTTATGCCCCAGTCCAGGGACCCTGGTGGTGCTTCAGGCTCTTGGGGCCCCATAGGGCACCTCTGCTATGTTCCCTCTCCTCCTATCTTTGGAGAATCCTCCTCCTGGATAGGGGACGCTGGGGTCACGGGGGGGGCTCTCTGTTCTGGAGTGAGCCAACCTTGAACTCAGGTCTCAGACCCCATCGTCTCCCGCAAGCCCAGGGCTGGGTTTCTAAGTGATAGCCCGAGCCCAGCTGAGGCCTCTTCTGCCCCAGGCATCCACCAGGTCCCAGAGGTGCCTTCACCACTGTGCCAACTGAGGCTCGGTGGAAAGTAACGTGCCCAGGGGCGCACAGCATGCAGCTGTGGAGGGGCTCCCCGACCTGGTCTCTGGGGCACCCCTCAGCACAACACATGCTTCCTGGGGCCCCTGCAGCTCATAAGGGGGAACGGGTGAGGCTGGGTGGCTGAGAGGGAGGCACTGGGAAACCATGGTGGCCTCTAGGCACTTCTAGCACCCACGTCCTCTTCCCACTGCCACCCAACCACATTGTGACAAAAGGATCCAAGGGTGGCAGAACCACTGTGGATCCCTTGCTGCCTTCCTTAAGGCCAGCCTACAGCAGACAGGATTAGGTGCGCCCCCTTTCCAGGCCATCCTCTAGAAAATCAGGCTTATACCAAAACCAGCCCAGAAGGCCTTACCAACAATCCCTTGCAAACAGTAGGCAACAGCCAGGAACCCAGGTTCTTTCTTTTCAGGCCAGAGTCCTGGCCTGGCCTTAGGTAGGACTCCCTATTCCTGCTCTGAGTGGGGCTCTTATCCTCACAGTCGGCTGTTCCCAGAAGCAGACAAAAGAGCTTTGTGGGAGGGAGGCTGGTCAAACCATCTGGTGACCAGCCCCAAACGCAGGCCCCGTGTGGAGAAGATGGACTTCAGATCAGATCTCAGCCTAGGGCTGTTGACCTTCAATCCCCCACCCAACTCTGGCAACCAGAGAACCTCAACCAGGGATCACCCCAGTAGTTCAGCCTGCTCCCTTAAGGCCGACAGAAGGCTTGGCTAAAACGCTAGCCAAAAGTGTAAACACAGACATTTGCCAGGGCAGCACCAGCCTGCCCTGCTCCCGCCCAAGCCTCCCAGCCAGG